GAGGCTTCTGTGTGTGTTCCCAAAATCCTCGCAGGAGACTCTAGGAGAAGGTCTTGTGGCGTAGCCATCCCTGGGGGGGATGATTATTCACCCCCCCCCCCCCCCCCCCCCCCCCCGCCAGTACAAGCACCCTATAGCACAAAAAGTAAAACCACAACAAAAAAGTGGACAAGTGATCACCCATCTGTCATCTTTCTGTGGCCATGACATAACTATCCTGGTGATGATTAGAACGGAAATTAGAACTCTGTTCCTGGAGAAGCGCTGGCACACAGTGAGATCCAGGAGGACAGATGGGCAGCAAGAATCGTGTAAGAACAACAGAACAACCATGCCATTCTATTCAACAGAAGATAATTAAGAACATTGTTTTGGAACTTAGGAGAGTTATTTTCTTGACTCTTGTCAGCTGGGTGCACTATTCTTTCCATGACTGTGTTGTGCAAAAGGTACCTTTTGGAAGCATTCTTTAGATGATTTTGGTCGTATAACAGGGCCTATAGGAAATTTCTTTCTTGACAGGGAGTTTTGTTTTGTTTTTGCATTAAGACAAAAAAAAAGAAGACATTCAGGAAACTAGTGTGCTGAAATTCGGTTTTCAACTTGTCATTCGTTGAAGGTTCAGGTGGCAGTGTTCTAAGTTTGATGGGTCTTTTCTGGAGTAAAGGCAACTGTTACCTTCTTCCAAATTCTAATGAGGGCACATTTTTTCCATTGGTACATCGTCATTTTGACAAGGGGGGACAGTACCACCAGCACTGTCTCTAACCCTGGCATGGAAGGCACGATGAGAATATTTGGCAAAAAGAAGGCATGTTTATGCCTAATGGGAGAGTGAATAATGATACTCCTGACAGCCAAGGTTAGTTTTCAAAGCAGGAGAGGAATGCCAGCCCTTAGCATATGCCTTCTCTGCAGGGAATGGGCTTGGCTCCCTCTCTGGAAAGATGATCTGGGATCATTATTTCTGTTGTCATGGAAATTTATTCTAATAGTTTACTGGTATTACTCATGAGTTTTGGCAAGGGCCACCCACCTAAATTCCCCTGGGCCATTCTTGAATATGCTTTGAATATGCTTATGTGATATGATAATGTCATCAATGTCATTCATTCATTCACTCAACGATTTATGCTTCGGATTCGTTTTAGTTTAGGAACACCAACCATGCCATCTTTTCCCACCCATGTGCATTTCTTCAAGGATAAGGACTTCCTTTATACTTCTGTATATTTAAAAAAAATTTTTTTTTGGAGAGGTTTTTGCTATAGGGCATGTGCACTCACCAGAAAGACAGAGAGACAGAAAGTGAGAAATCACCCCCCCGGAGGATAGCCACTTGGCAGTCCCTTCTCCACCATTCTCCTCTTGGAATCTTGGGCATGCATGCACAAGCGCCCGGTGTGATTTTAAGCCACCAGGTCCGGGACTCAAACTGTAGTCGGCTACATGGGAGTTCAGCAACATAGCCATTACGCTAACTACTGGTCCCAGCTTCTGTATATTTTTTAAGAGTAAGAAGAGGTAGACTATGATGTCTTCTCTAGCCGTCATTTTAAAATTGGAACTTTTATTTGTTTATAAGCCAGAAGGAAAAATGAAACTAAGATCTTCAAGCTTTTTTTTTAAAAAAAAATGTGTTTTTTTTTTTTTTTTTCCTTTGATATTCGGTATTCTTTCACTGTGTACTGACTGGACATTTATTTAGTAAAAGACATAGACCCTTCACTCTCACTGATTGTAGTTTTCCTCTTTTCAAGGATTTGGAATGCCCTGACAGACAATTATGGAAACGTAATGCCTGTGGACTGGAAGTCGTCCCATACGAGGACCTTGCATTTGCTTACCCTGAACCTGTCGGAAAAAGGGGTAAGTTAGGAACTGAGCCTGTAGTTGGTGGATAACATGCCAGTAATGGAACTAAGTTGGCAGCGTCTGTGTTTAACATGAACCCATCGAGTTGTGTCTCATTTTCAAGGCTGTCGCAATCGGAATGCTGCGGTCTTACCGTCATGGCTCCATTGCCAGCTCCTTGTGGGACGGTCCTCCAGTTCTTCCCCAGCACTCTCAGATTTCCGTGCCTTTTGCATCAGCTGGGTCTCTGCCAGCGGTCACCATTTCTTCCCTCAGATTGCGCTTTTGATGCTGAGGACACTCGATGAGAAGCCTTGCCTTTAATACAGTGTGTTGAGCGCATGGGATTGTCAACATGGGTTCACTTTTAGGTAAACTTAGTGACTTACTGAATATGACATGCTGCCAGAAGACGATGTATTCTTGTGAATGTTGGGGAACCTTCAAAAGACATTTTAATTCTTGGCTTTTCAGTGTGGTTTGACACACTTATC